CCTGACCAGGGGCGCTCCCTTTTGGGAATCCTCCGATTCACTGGAGAGACTCATGGAACCCCTCGACTCATTGTCATCTTCTTCCTCGTCGCCCTGGGATCCTTCCCCCTCGCTCTCAGTCTCCTCCCTCATCTGCGCCTCTCTCCCTGAACCCCTGACAGTAAGCTTCACTTGAAAGAACAATGGGTGGACACCACAGAATCTATGGTACTTGGATCCCACTGACTTCATGAGGTATCCTATATTTGAAGCTGTATATATCAAAGTGCAGTTTGGGCCAGCCTTTGAGATGCCCTGAATGGAGTTCCATTCTGTCTTTGGCTGTTGAGTCTTCATCCCTGAACTCTGTAGTCTTCTTACCACTGCTGCAACCATCACTGAAGATCCATTGAAGTCCAGATTAGTCTCTTCCAGTTGCCGGGTGCTTCTTGGAAGCAATCTTCATTTGCTTTCTTCAGCCCTCTGCTCAGGTCCTCTGTAGAGCTAGCACTTGGAAGCAAGTGCTCCACTTGCCCAATGGCTGGGCCAGCTGTGGCATTTAGATATTGTAGCAATGGAAACTCTGAATGAGATGTTGGGAAATTAAAAGAAAACCTCAGTGTTATGAAAACTAACCAAATGATTCAGGCCTAGGAAACTTGCAACATTACAATAGTTGACATTTGGGCCAAAGAAAGAGTCCCAGCCACCTACACCCTGATTTGGATCACTGAAGGTTCTTTTTCCCCCTTCCAATTCCTCAAAGTTTCTCAAGAGCAGTTCAGACAATTGTGCAACTGAATTATTGTTGACCTGTCTGTTTCTTTTCTTCAGGTTCACATCTGCTTCAAAACATGTGTTGATGGTTATGTAGGAATCAGATTGGGCCAGCAAGGATTCAGTAGGCTTGCTGTTGCTGGCTGGGTTCAAATCTAGCTTATCAAACATGTATTTGTCAATGTAGACTGTTAAAAGCAGCACTGTGAAGTTCATATTTGACGCATAACACTTATGTAGAAAGTACAGTAAAATATCTAGATTCCCCATAGCCCAAGTTGTGTACATTCCATGCTTTGGAAAAGGATGGAAAGATACAGGTTCTGTATTTGAATTCTTCATCCAGCTTCTGTAATCTGAATAAATCACTGCCATCAAGCAAAATTGAAAATATTCAGAGCAACTTCCAATTGCCTTGCCACTTTCCCCCAGGAAACAAATGGCAATCGGGTTTTCTGCAGTTTGCTGTTTGTTCCAGTTTGGTGCTAAAGAGCAGTTTTTTCTAAGGGAAAGCGGCAAGACAAAGGCAAAACTGCTTAGAGCCATGCTTTGTAGGCCCAGGACAAGCGGGAGTATAGCTGAGCCCTCAGTGTGCATAATGCATCCTGCTATTGATAGGAAAAATATTGAACCTCAGTCTCACCACTCACCCACAGGAAGTACGACTCTGATCTCATCCATGACCAGCTTCTGATATATCACCATCCACTGCTCACATATCTTCAAGCTTATATTTGCAGAAACTCAAACTTGCTTGAAAGAGCAAAAGCTGGCATTCTTAGCATGCAGAATTTTGTATCTGGCACAGAATTCCGTGCTTGCACAGATCCACAGCACAGACAGATTGCTGGAGCCAGTTGTCTTTGTTAACTGCTGACAGAAACAATAGAAACCTCTTAACAACCACAAAGGAGTATTGGGATTCAGAGATATGCATACCAGAGAGTTCTCTAGCTGTCTGTCCTCTTCTTTCCAGTGTTGTGTTCAGTCTGGAAGGTTTCTGTGTCTAGCAGTTGCCATTCATACCCCTGCAGTGGAATTGATGGCATAAATCAGGGTTATGCAACCGGCAGTCCTCAATGTTGATGGACTCCAACTCCCATCCTCCTTGATCATTTGCTTTTTTTTATATATAAAATATTTATTGAGATTTTTTAAACAATCAAATAACAGAATAACAGATATAAACAGAAAGAAAAAAGTCAGAATAAGATTATACATAAGAAAAAAAAGATAGAAATGTAGAAAAAAAGTAAAGATAAAATGCATATATTAATAAACCTACTTTCCATCATACTTTGGACTTCCTCACATCACCCTTCCCTGCGTTCCCAATCAGACAGTTATGTGCAGCAATTTGTTACCTTACTTCCATTTCTTATTTTATAAATCACCAATATTCAATTTCAACTTTAAAATCTGTTGGTCTTAAATTAAACTGCTTATAAAGAGCATAGTATTTCTTCAAGTTTCAACATTACCTTAAACATCACATATTTTCATATATCTTACAATAGTTTTACTGCTGCCATGATTCTTTCATTCGTGCATTCTCCTAACATTCATACAATTTGTAGTGTTTTTGTAAGTAGTCCTTAAATTTTTTCCAATCCTCTTCCATCGTCTCTTCTCCCAGGTCTCGAATTCTGCTAGTCATTTCAGCCAGTTCCATACAGCCTATCAGTTGCGTCTGCCTCCTTGATCATTTGCTAGCTTAATTAGGGATGATGGGAGTTGGAGTCCAAGTGCTTCTGGAAGGGCACAAATTTATTAACCTCAATTTAGATGGATAAATAGGCCAGGTGCTAATAATAAGAATAATGATGATGATGATGATGACGACGATTGCTGGAAAGGCCAAAGGTGTATTTCAGGCATAGGCAAACTTGGCCCTCCAGATGTTTTGGGACTACAACTCCCATCATCCTTAGCCAACAGGACCCAGTGGTCAGGGATGATGGGAGTTGTAGTTCCAAAACATCTGGAGGGCCGAGTTTGTCTATGCCTGGTGTATTTGAATGGCCACAAAAATTGCTCATGAAGATGGCCTTAGCCTTCATTGACTACTCCTGTGACAGAGTTATTTCTTTATGATCCTTGAAAACAGGTATCTCAAGCATGCTTAAATTAACTGCTTCAATCCATCAACAGTATAACACAATATATATTACAACTTGAATCAAGCTTGTTTGCTGGGGGTATGTGGTAGCCAAATTCAGGACCCCTGTTCGTTGCAATCACGGAAGATAGGAATATAAGAGCTGTCTTATATGAAGTCTGATCACCAGTCCATCTAGTTCAGTACTGTCTACTCTGACTGTCAATGGCTCTCCATGGTTTCAGCCAGGGGACATTCTCAGTTTTAGCTGGAGATGTCCTGGATTGAACCAGGAACATTCTGCATGCAAGGCAGATGCACTACATCTCCAGATAAAATTGAGAATATCCCCTGGCTGAAACCATTGAGAACCATGGCAATATGATAGCCTCCATGTGCAGACAAACACAAGCTTTCATATTCCACAGGAGTCTCCATCATTCATTCATCTGTGTTCTAGAAAAGCATGCATTAAAATATCCGCTTTGTTTCTCTTGCAGGCCCAGTGCTTAAGAGAAGATTTAAAACAGCCAGCCTGTTTGTTGAAATTTGCAGTTTGCATCACTCAGCTGGCATCGTGCGCAACGTCTGGCTTCAGAAAGCCATAGCAGTGTCTCCCCTTGCATGCTGCCCTTGAACTGCCGCAAGTGTGAGTGGTGACGGCTCAAGCTGGCATTTCACCCACTTGGCTGCGGGAGAGAAGAAAGGGATCATGGGGAAAAACCAGCCTCCAACTGGCTGCTGTCAGATTGGCAGCCGTTTCTCACATTACAGTGAAGGGAGCAATGCTGTAAGCTGCCTTAGGTCCTGCACTGAGAGAAAGGTGGGATATACAAGGTAATGAAATGAAATGAAAGCAGCAGCCAGGCTAAGTGTACCCTGTCTTGTCTATGGGATCACTGTGGTAACAGGCGGCCCTAAAGGACATTAGAATGATAGATGGGCCATCTACCTTGTGCTCACCTGCTGGAGGTGAGGTTGCAAAATGAATGATGAGAAAATTACAGCTGAGCAAGCCTTGACTCTGCAGGGTGTGGGCAGGGCACATTCCTAGCAGACAAGGGAAATAAATCCAGCCCTTTGGTTATCTCCCTGTGCATAACCCCAGCACATATTTCTGCTATGCACTCCACTTCTGGGGTTATGATGTGGGCAAACCCATTGCGGCTTTCCTTCATGTCATGAGATACACACTGCTTTTACTTCCCCTGCTTGTAGATTGCAATGCCATGATCAGCTCTTGCTCCAAGAACAGTCTGGCATAATGGGGAAAGGTTCCTTTGAGCAAAAGCAGAGTGCCATTCTTCACTCTAAAAATACTCATTTCTAAAAGTTGAGGATCAGAGCTTTAGCTAGGTTGCTTTAGAACCTGAGTACAAAAAGCACCACTGAGATGTAGATCTGACGCACTTCCAGGTGAGGGCTTAATAATAATAATAATAATAATAATAATAATAATAATAATAATAATTCATTATTATACCCCACCCATCTGACTGGGTTTCCCCAGCTACTCTGGGCAGCTTCCAACAAAACACTAAAATACAACAACCTATTAAACATTAAAAGCTTCCCTAAACAGGGCTGCCTAAACAGGGCATTGTAAATAGACCATTCAGGTATCACACATGGATCATTGGCAGCAGTTTTTAAAAAGCACTTTTTGCGTTTCTTTCAGGGTAAATCTGGATTGGATTTGGAGTGGATTGGAATATAGGCTGGTGTTTTGATGGCAAGGACATCATGTGGCCTCTGCAAAACAAAAAACAAAACACCTTGCGTAGATGAGTAGCACCCATCCCACAATAATCACCTGTCTGAAACTGCCCTTGGTCTTGTAAAAAAAAAAAAGGAGGAAACTGCATCAGCAGGAGATGAAAGAGCAGAGGGGCTTAGCAAACAAGAAAAAGCCTACTGGTGCATCAGTGCCTGGGGACAATGATGCAGACACATGTCTGAAGGGCAGGGGTGGGGAGGAAACTCCTTGAATTCTTCAGCAACCTGCCTCATCTCTGCTTCTCCCCCCCCCCCGCCTCCACTTCTGCCTCTGAGTCTGGACTGCTGTCTACCACAGCCTCTTCCAGCTCACTAAACCCTGTTGCCTCTTCAGCATCCGACACCTCCTGCTCATAGCTGTCAACTTTTCCCTTTTCTTGTGAGGAATCCTATTCGGAATAAGGGAATTTCCCTTAAAAAAAGGGAAAAGTTGACAGCTGTGCTCCTGCTCCCAGTCTGCCTACCTCCCCTCTGTCCACTCAATGCCATCCCACCACCAATCCCTGGCTCTGAGCCTTCTTCTCTTGGAGGTTCCCTCAGGGGTTCCCCAACTGCCTTCCTCCACTCCTCTGCATCCAGCCAGTCTATGACACCGGCATCCCCAGGTACGACTGGGGAAGGCATCCGTCGGAAAACCTGGAGAGCCACAGCCATTTAGTGTAGACAGTACTGAGTCAGATGTGGAGAGCATTGTAGTAACACCCAGCTAACTCGGTGTAAGTCAGCTGCCAGTGTTCCCACTCTGTTAACAACTGCCTCCGAAAGTGTTAAGTAAGTGTTCTTTTCAAGCTCTTGTTCCGAACAGTTTATATAGCACATGGTACAAATGAGCAAACATGCTGCCCTAGAGAGGCGACAACTTATCTGGAGGGTGTACATAATCAGGCATTTCAGAAGGAAAAGAATGCAAGTTATTTACCATTAAATCTGTTGCTGCAGGGAAAGATTTCTAAAACCCCTTCGCCAAGCAAGCTCCTTCCCCGCCCCTGGAAGGTTTCTTCAGCTTCAAAACAGCACCAGCTCATTAAAAGGCAGGGCAGCCAGGCTTCCATTGCAGTCTCACACTTTTTCTTTCAGAGTTTGCGGTTTTATATGGGTCTCCCGCAATCCCCCCCTCCTCCATCCCCAAAAGCATCCACTTGACTGCCCAGGAACCTACAGCACCATCGGCTGAGAAAGCTGTGGCGAAGAACAAACTCCCTCGAGTTTGGAGCCCTGGAGGGCAGCCATGTTGAAACTATCATTGTTTCGGCCCATGTCTTTCATTAAAGGCTGCCAGATAAATATTTACAGCTGGTCATGGGAGGAGGCAAGTTGGAGGGACCTCGGCACATTTTCCTTCATTTCACTGCTCATCTGGCGTAGGCTTTTGCATCTATGCAATATTGCGTTGAATTTGTCGTTGCTGTTGTCATCTTGGTGCATTAAGAATTGTGAGCTTTCATTTCAAAATAAGCCCTATCTGAATCCCACTGTATTACCAACATGGCAATGTCTTTTGGAAGTTTTAAGGCATATGCCAGAACATAGTCCTTGGTGTTTAATGAATCCCAAATTTCAAGGGAGCTCCTCCCTGCCTGATTTTGAATTGTGTTACATCTGGTAATCTCCCTCTACCCTGGAAATCTGAGATGCCTTGTGTCAATGTGGCTTCTGGCCTTGTGGTGCTGCTATGGAATGCCAGGTCCGTCTGCAATATGTTCCTTCATACATAACTGACAAAGTGGGCCTCAGTCCACAAAAGCTTATTCTACAATAAATAAATCTGTGAGTCTTTAATCTGTGAGTCTTTAAGGTGCTTTTGGTGTAATGGACTATCATGGCTACCACTCTGGAAATTGCACTTGGCTCTAGTGGGACAAGTTGGGAATACTGTTGGTGGTGTGCCCATCCCACCGAACTGTCTCCCTGAGATCACCAAGCTGGACTTGGATCTGGTGCTGAGGACCCGCTGGATGATTGTCCTGGGTGTTGTCAACTTCCACGCAAAGGCTGCCTCATCAGAAATGGCTCAGGACTTGAAAGTGTGCACTTAAGAGTGCGCTCCAGAGTTTTTCTTTTGAAGATGGGTTACCTGACACCAAGGTAGTGTCAGGTGATCACAGTCTCACCAGAGTGGCTTCAAGGCTGTGCACCCATGTTAATGGGAGAACCTGAGGTGGACCCCATGCCAGGACACAGCCTTCATTGAGTCCCTGAGAGTCCTGACCACTGAAAATAAATGCAGTCTAACCTACTGGTTTAAGTCCAGTTTCACCTACTTTGCCTCTCCAAGGATGACATCCTTAGGATGATATATTTTATATATTTATATATTTGTGCATGGCAACAAGTGAGTCTGATCAAGCTGCATTAAAAAAATACTATTTTGATGTGACTCTGAAGGGAAAGGTTACGTGATGGGATGCACCAGTTTTGGCTTCCTGGCATGGCTATAACCACAATTTTCAATCCACGCAGCTTTCAGCGAGTCAAAGTGTTCACTGAGCATCAACTGGAATAAAAGAGCTTTGGAGATGTTTAAAAGGAGCCTGAAAAACTGTCATGGAGAATGGGGGAGGTAAAAACAATCCATAATAGACAGCTGGGGATTCAGCATACTGTTTAGGTCTCCTGTCTGTGATATACAACCTACATCTGTCCAAACACAGACCCCCTCCCTTTGCTTGCCGAGATGAATCAACAACAGCTCAGCAATGATTGTTTCCAGCTCACACTGAGGCCTACAGATTAGAACACTCCGGATTCCACTTGTCAAACTGTCTCGCTAGGACTTGGCCTGCGTTGGGTTTCATGGTTTGTTTTTAAAACTCCCTCAGAGATATTCGTATGAAATTGACTTGTGCTAGAAAGTTTATTTGGTTTTGGGATCCAGTAGGCCGAGACAGGGAAACTGGGAGGAAAGGGAAGGCATGTAGGGATCTCTGTCCCACAGCCTTAGGGGAAGGGTAGCTCAGTGGTTGAGCATCTGCTTTGGTGAGATGCTGAGTTCAATCCCAGCATCTGCAGAAAGCCCTGTCTGAAACCCTGGAGAGCCTCTGTCAGTCAGTGATGGGGGAACCATATACAGCACCTTGAGCTCATTGGAATAAAAGGTAGGATAAAAAAGTAATAAGAAATTAAAAAGCAAGCAAGGCAATACAGCATCTCTTTTACCATTCATGCTTCTGTAGGCAATATTAACCCAAAGCAACCCCTGACACAGCAATTCCTCTGGGATTTAATTACTGGATTGTTTTATTTGTGTGAGAAATTCTTCATTCAGTGGATAGGGAGGAGGATGAATCAAAGAACAGGGTTAAAAGTTGTATAAATATGGGCATTTTGCAACTCCCAAGTGCTTGACATTCCAAGTGAAATAATGTTTACCAGGCCTACTATTTGGTATGTGGTTAGATATTTACCTGTGCCATACCAGAACTGTACTGTGTTAACTCCTCCATGGGTCAGCAGGTTGTAATGTGTTAATTAAAGTGTGTGATGGTGGCAAGGAAGGAAGAATTTCTTGGGGGAAAGGGTTCGTGCCACATATGAAAGGAAGAATGATGCTTTGATCTGTTTATTTTAGGAAATATATGGCTTGCTTCACCAGCGCCCATTCTCTTCAAAGGGCCTCAGACTCATTGTCTCAGCAGAAATCTGGAGTTGTTTGTAGTGGATTAACAAAGGATGGATTAACAAAGGATGGACACAGTGGACTAAATATCTAAGGATGCAGTCAACGGCTGGGTATATGTGTTGTGTTTTTATTTCGCCTGATTCAGAAATGCTGTGGTTTCTTTCCTTGCCTCTCTGTTGAAATCCAGCACCTGTTTTGCCGCCTTATGGAGAAGCCAAAATTGTCCGGTCAATGTGCTATATGCATGTTTACTTGGAACTAAACCTCACTAGGTGCAATGGAACTTAGCACATAGTATTAATCTTTGCAACCTTCTTCGAAGGAAGACTTGGCCTGCTGGCCAAATCCAGCCCTCCAGGCCATTCTCTCTGAACCCCAGGATGCTCCCCACACCATGCCCCTCACTAGCCTTGCTCCACACTTCCCTCATTTTCTCCGGTTGGAATGTTTTTGTGAACTGTGATGATGCTTCTTGCGGAACTTGATTGAGAGATTGATGGGTGGCAGCAGCGTAGAAACCACTGGCTTTTGTGCAGCTGCAATGGAGCCCACAGGACAAACACAAGAGCTACATGTGCTGCTCCTCTCCCCTTTGCCTCTGACTGCTACCTTGCACTGGCCCCTGGCAGGTTCCCTGCAAGGAAATGCGGCCCTTGTGCTGGAAAGGTCCCCTACAACAGTTTTATGGGTTGGTCCCCCTTGGTATCAGTACAGATGGAGAGTGGGCTATAATAAATATTTTCAAGAATAAGCAAGTGTGCAAATAAATCACTGCTGAGGTACATCCACAATTGTGAGGTGTCACAAACTGTTACCATTGTTGAAGTAAGGGCAGCGCAATCGCAGCTAAGAAGCTCAAATGATATACAGCTGACCCTCTAGTTACGTACCGCTCTGGATACGTAACTTTCGGGTTACGAACGTGGCAAACCCGGAAGTGTATACTGCACATGTGCAGAAGCGGCGCCTCTGCCTACGGACTTTTCGTGTTGCAGACGGACTCCCAGAACGGATTTAATTCGTATCCGGAGGGTCCACTGTATATGACTGAAACCCTTCTTTGGAAATTAAACCAATGTCCAGACTTTAGCATTCAAATACTTTACTTACAGAAACATATAGTTAGATAAATCAAAACATATTTACAGTCAAGCATGGGCTTACAGTCTCTTTTTCTAACTTCCAAACAACTGTATTTTCCTCTTTTTCCAGAGCTTAGCACTGAGCCTTCTGTATCACAATTAGGCTGTGCCTTGCAGCTCCTTTGAGAGATAACTGCTTTTACCTTCTCCTGCAGCTTTGCTCTCTTTCAAGCAAAGAAGCACTCTAACACTCTATGGAACTTAGCAGTGTTTACAGTGGATTCTAAAACACAGTCACCTTGCTTCACATAAAATGGAGCCTCTCTTTCACTAGATACTTCCCATGTGACCAATGTTAGCCAGCCACATGAGAACTACTGGAGAGAACTTTCTAGAATTCAGTTGCCAGCCAATCAGATTTAAGCACATACAAGCATTTACAATTTCAGTGAACTAAATTACTAAACTTAGCAACCATTGGCTAGAGACTACCTCTGATGTCACAATAGATAATGGCAGATGAGTGGATATAAAAGGGCCTTTTCCTCTTCCCTAACAACAATGTACAGTGGGCAACAGCTGTGATATCCAGATGCCCAGTCTTCTATCTGTAGGAGGCCCATTTGCAGATGAATGGAGGCTATCTGGTTGTGGAATGCTATGGAGCACTAATAAGGCAAGTTCACCTGCTGAGCAGGATTGCAGCCTGAATGCAGCTGATATCCATGGTCAGAAGCTGGATGATATTTAGAGATGGACCTAGTGGAAGATGGAAGATGCTGGATGCTGGTAGGTGGAATTTGTATTTGAAAATCAGTGGATGCCACAAGGCTGAAGCAGGCTGATATTTGTGGATGTAAAATGGCTGAAGCTGGTTGACATCAGCTGGTGGGTATTTGTGGGTTGAAGCCGAGGCCTGAATGGAGAGTGAATTATCAGTGAATATGTATGTTGGCGTTCTTCATGGATGTTGGCTGGCATATGCTTGGGGGGGGGGGGTTTCAAATGTGGTCACTGTGAATGGTGTATGCATATGCATGACTGTGATGTCTGAAAGGAAACTGGTGGATATTCATGAAAAGATGAAACCGGAAAGCTGTGCTGATGCCTCTCCAGCTATTACCTTTGGCTGCAGATGTCCAGGTTCCCAGCTTGATAACATGGTAAGCGTAGGTAATTAAAAAGGAGAATTTATTGCAAAAACAAACAAATAGCTTTGGGCAGCTCTAACGAAGCCACCAGCATTATCATTCAAGATGACCCTTCTGAAGACTGCTTCCGGTTCCTACAGAATATATTGAACCGTTGCCCCTTACGTCTCTTGTTTTGCTTCCTGTCTAGCAGCCCTCCCATTCGCCGACTCTTCAGACTTATTGGATCAGCTCTAGCCTCTCTCTGTTCTGAAAAACTGTCTTGGTGTCTGTTCACGCCTGTTTGAGCTTTCTGAGAGCTTTGGCTGTGTTCCAGCCCGCTCTCAGTCGTTCCCTTGGCAACCGACATTCCAATGTCTGAGGGAGTCGCACTGGGCACTGGCCGCTGTTCAGTCTGCATCAGATCTAACCCTGTCTGTTCTGCAGCTGGCTGTAAAGTTCCACTAGGACCTAGCTCATTCCTGACAGCAGACCACCTATGAGGTCACAAAGGGGCATGGTGACAGGGTGTGGAGGGGAAGAGACCGTACTTATATATCACAGGGCTGGGGGACCTGTGGCCTTCCAGGTGTTTTTGGACTCCAAATCTCATCAGCCCCAGTCGTCATGGCTAATACCAGGAACGATGGAAGCTGCAGTCTAGCAACTGCTGTAGGACTACAGGTTTCCCATCCCTGCAAACCCATTCTCTGAGTACAAATCCATATGTAGCCGTGGGATGGTCAGCCAAAAAAGACTGGTATTGTAGTCAAGGCTGACTGATCAATAAGATGAAGAGTTGCAGTTCATTTTCTAGGAACCAGCAACCAGCTGCGCCATCTTGCTTCCTGTGCCTTGGAACATTCCATAGCTTTGAATGGGGGAATTGCTGAGCCAAGTCATTGTGCATGTATGGGAGGGAGAGACAGCAGAAATTGAGAGTGAAGAGGTCTAGCCTTCAACAGTTTCTGCTACTGTGCAAATATTCATGCACTTTTCAGTATAGCTGGCATCCCTTTTGAATTTAATTATAAATCCAATACTGGAGAGCCTTGAGTCTCCCCTACTCTACCTTATAAACACTTTGAGGGGAGGGCCTGGCTAACAAACATTGAGGAGAGATCTTCCAACTCTGCAGCTTCTTACGCTGGTTCCTGTGTGGGTCAAAATGATGTTCAGTGAAACCAAAAGTGTTTTGTTTGAGAAGTGCACTTCTCCATTGCAACTGCTCTTTCTTGCTCTGCCTCGACCTTCCGATTTCTATCAAGGTAATCGCTTCGTGTGGAATGACCGTTCCAAGTGAGGTATTCTTTGTTTCTTTTTCATCTTAAATTTAACAACACAGTAATAGCTTGTAAATGAAATGCTGCTCATTTATTGAAACCATATTCATCAAGGCTGAGCTCCCACGTGGGGGAGGCATGTGTGTCCAATTGCTGCAAAACCTTGGCAAATATGCTTTTAATAAAGCCCTGGTATTATTTAATGCTCAGGGAGCAACAACTACTGAAACCCGGAGCCAAGACCAAAGACTGAGAAGATCAAGTTTTGAAAAGTACACCAAGCGGTTTGTTTCTTTGCAGCTGAAAGGGACTCCACCCAGGTTTTAATTTGAGTCCTGCGGATCATCAGAGCTTAGCCTGGGATCAACCTTGGAATATGTGAAGTAAGAATATTGGAGAGTGCCTCTAAACTTGGGCTCCTGGATACCCAAGTAGCATTTGTTAACCAGAGCGCACTGCATGGCCCAACATGATACATTCCTTGGTGACCTCTAGATGGGATTAGTGGAAGCAGAGCTGCCTTTCAAAAGGAACTGCAACAGGCACAAAATACAACTGCTTTCAACAAGACCCGGCAGACAATGGAATGCAGTGGAACACAGGAAGCTGAATCAGACGATTGGTCAGTATTGCTTACACTGGCTGGCAGCAGCTCTCTAGGTTTTCAGGCAGGATCTCTTTAATCTCTATCATGAGATGCTGAAGATTGAACCTGAGACGGCCCACATGCAGAGCAGATACTGTCACTGATATCTGGAACTTTCATAAGCTTGAACCACACCATCTAGGCTGACATCAGAAATTCAGTCAACACTGATTCTTTAAAGTTCACAGTACAGTGGTACCTCGGGTTACATACACTTCAGGTTACATACGCTTCAGGTTACAGATTCCACTAACCCAAAAATAATACCTCAGGTTAAGAACTTTGCTTCAGGATGAGAACAGAAATCACGCGGCAGCGGCACGGCAGCAGCAGGAGGCCCCATTAGCTAAAGTGGTGCTTCAGGTTAAGAACAGTTTCAGGTTAAGAATGGACCAAATTAAGTACTTAACCCGAGGTACCACTGTAGTGGTCTTCTTGACCTTTAATATCTCAAATGGTCTGGTGCATACAAAAGTACCTCCTTGGACTTTGAGCTCGTTGGAGGAACCTCTGCTATGGGTTCTTTTAAGATGCAGGATGAGAAGCGATTTATGGAGGAGAAGGCTATTGACAGCTACTAATAACCACAATCTTCTATTTGATTTGGGATACTTATGGACCACACTTCTTCCAAAGGAGCACAGACAACAAACACAAAGCAATACACATCAGCCATCAATACACCTATGCAATATAATATATTGGTTAAAACATAACACGCAGCATAGCTGCTAAATATTTACCATTTCCTTCTAAAGCAGCAATGATGTTTATAATCCACCTTCAAAGTACTCTGCTTCTGAATACCAGTTGCTGGAAAACACAGCAGGGGAAAGTGCACTTGCATTCAGGTCCTGCATGCAAGCTTCCCATAGACATCTGATTGGCCCCTGGGAGAAAAGGATGCTAGTGGAGATGGGGTTTTGGCTCTGACCCAGCAGCGTCCTTCTTTTTAAGAGGAAGAAC